GAGAAACTTCATAAACAGTTTGGGCACGCCTCTGCTGATAAAATACAAAGATTTTTGACTAGTTCTGGCAATAAGGACACAGAATGCAACAGTCTGATGAAAAAGACTGTGAACCAGTGTGAAGTGTGTCAAAAATATTGTAAGACCAAACCAAAACCTGCTGTCGGTTTACCATTGGCATCTACATATAATGAGACAGTTGCTGTAGATCTGCATGAGCTTGAAACTGGGGTGTGGTACCTACATATCATTGATCAGTTCACCCGTTTCAGTGCTGGTAGTGTCTTAACCACCAAGAGATCTTCTGAAATAGTCAAACGTTTTATCCATGATTGGATCAGTGTGCATGGCCCATCACAAAAGTTGTTCAGTGACAATGGTGGTGAGTTTAATAACGAGGAAGTGAGAGACATGGCCGAAAACTTTAATATTGAAGTTAAAACAACACCTGCTTACAGTCCGTGGAGTAATGGACTGTTAAGAGCGCCATAATCAAACTCTGACTGAGATCCTAATGAAAGTTAAAATAAGTACTGGATGTGACTGGAGCACTGCCATGGATAGACAAAGCCCCAGCTCTAGAGGGCACCACCAAGAGTGAATGGGTTGCCAAACACATTTCAGCCCTACATGCTGCAAGAAAAGCTTTTAAAGAAGCAGAATGTCCAGAAAAGATACGCTGAGCACTAAAGAAACAACTGCGACCTACAGATGAGCGATATGAAACTGGAGACAAAGTCTTTTACAAACAAGTGACCTGTCCAGAATGGAAAGGACCAGGAGTGGTCATTGGTCAAGATGGTGCAGTCGTTTTTGTTAGACATGGAGGCACCTGTGTCAGAGTGCACCAACTCAGATTAAGGAAAGTTACTCAGGAGCATGAAGAACCTCAGTTTACCTGCAGTGAGGAGAACAATCAAGGACAACATACAGTGGACATCAATGAAGAGGAAGTAGGAGACACTAATGCAGTAAATTCTGAGAATTATCCTTCGCCTGCTCCTGAAAATGCAGAGGCTGAGAGACAGCACACTGAGAAAACACCATCATAAAGACAGGTCAAACTGTGACATTCAGAAATACAGAAGGTGTCTCACAAAAAGCAAAAGTGTTGGGACGTGCCGGCAAAGCAACTGGGAAATACAAAAACTGGTATAACTTGGAGCTGCTTGAGCCTGTAGAAGTGGCTGGCAACAGTGAATCAGCTGATCTGTGAAGTTCAGAGTTGGAGGATCTTCGTGTCCAGGCAAATGTTCATGATACGGATACACACGAGGATGTTTTTGTGATTAAGGACATGTCAATTGATGAAGCAAAGGAAAAGGAAATAAAAAGCTGGAAACAGAATCAAGTGTTTGAAGAAATTGAGGACAAAGGACAAAAGTGTGTCTCCACTTGTTGGGTGTGCACTCTGAAAGAAAGTGAACATGGATTAGCACCAAAAGCAAGGCTTGTTGCACGAGGATTTGAGGAGCTACAAGTTTCTAATCTACAAAAGGACTCACCAACCTGTGCTTCAGAATCACTGAGACTCCTGGTGGCAGTTATATGTCAAAAACAATGGAACCGTCACCCAATGGACATTAAATCTGCCTTCTTACAAGGAATGGAACTGTCCAGAGACATTTTTATCAAACCTCCCCCAGAGGCCAATAGCACAGGCATGCTTTGGAAACTGAGAAAATGTGTGTATGGATTAGCTGATGCCTCACTGTATTGGTATAACAGGGTAAAAAAACATCATGATTGAAGCAGGTGGCATCATGTCTAAGGTCGACCCTGCAGTTTTCTACTGGCTGGATGAGGGCAAGAATGTAACTGGTGTACTTGCTTGTCATGTTGATGATTTTAAATGGGGTGAATCACACATGTTTTCAGAGTCAGTCATACCTCACCTCAGGTCAAAGTTTAATGTCGGTCGTGAAGCGCATAATAGATTTTCCTATGTGGATGTGGATCTTGTTGCTAAGGGTAAGAAGGTACACATGCACAAAGACACATACATTCAGCACCTGCAGCCCCTACACCTCTCACCCTCACGAGCAGCAGAGTCAGCTTTGCCCCTCACTGAAAAGGAGAGAGAGCAGCTCAGATCGAAGATAGGCCAACTTCTGTGGGTTGCAAGACAGAGCAGGCCTGATGTCATGTTTGATGCTAGTAATTTAGCATCTAGTCTCAAACAGGCTACAGTACAGACCATCAGTGAAGCAAACAGAGTTGTGTGTAAACTCAAGACCAAGTCAGTTGAACTGAGTTGTCAACACCTGGGAGAAAACAGTAACTTAAAGATGGTTACATTCACAGATTCATCTTTTGGGAATCGTTCAGATGGGGGCACTCAGGGTGGGCACCTCATTGTTTTAATGGGTGACAATGGGTGGTTCTCTCCCATTTCATGGCAGTCAGAGAATTAAGAGTTGTTAGAAGCACACTTGCAGGTGAAACACTAGCTATGTCTGAAGGGATTGATAATGCAATTTTTCTTCCCACACTGTTTTCTGAACTCAATGCTGGTAGTACTGCTTGTCCTCCACCAATAGTCTGCGTCACTGATAATTTCTCTCTTGTTGATGCACTTAAGTCAACTAAGTTTGTTGCAAAGAAAAGGCTACGCTTGGAAATTAGTTCGATTAAAGAACTGATTCAAACTATGAAAGTTCATCAAGTGTTGTGGTCTCAAACAAAAGACCAACTCGCAGACTGTTTAACAAAAAAGGGTGCATCTACAACCTCACTACTTAAGGCTCTTTATGAAGGACGTTAGATTGTTCAATTAATTCACAAGTTGTTTCACACTCTTTCATGTTGAAACCGTTCTAACAAAATCCTTAGTGGCTATGCTTTACCATGAGTCTTATACAAGCATTGTTTTTTTTAATATTGTTTTTTTTTTTTAAAGTGGGAGGTTTGTTACTCCTTTGTTTTGTTTAGTTTGCATGCCAATCCGCTAGGGGGCACTGTCATGCCAGTAGCGCATGGGAATGTGGTTTACACTCTGCTTCTGTGGTGTCAGTGTTGTTGAGCTGTGAAGAGCATGGTGGAATAAAGTTCTATTGGATCCAAAAGGAAAAAAGTTATTTTTATTGACTAACAGTTATGATGCGTAACCATGGCAACCATACAAACAACAGCAGCTGATTGAACATCTCAAAAGCTCAAATCATATCTCAACTAAAGCCCCAAATCTCAAATGAGTTGAAAAGGAGGCTCTGCAGATGCATTCTCATCTACCTGCCAGCTGTGCTTGAGTGCCTGACCACTGAGATCCTGGAACTAGCAGGAAACACGGCTCATGACAGCGGAAGGACAGAATCGTCCCTCGGCACCTACAGCTGGCTGTCCGCAGCGACAAGGAGCTCGGCAGACTGCTGGGAGGAGTGGCCATCGCTCTGGGAGGAGTTCTGCCCAGCATTTGGACGATCCTACAGACCAGGGGAACCAAGAGGCCAGCCGAGTCTGGGTGGACTGATCAGAAGGGATCTGCAGCCAGTTTCTTAGGATCCACTGTGGAATGGACCTTTGCAGGAGATCATTCCTGTCCACAGCCATCAGCATCTAGAGCATCTCTTAATGAAATGAGGATAACAAGTTACAACAACAAATAATTTCCCTTTGGGATTAATAAAGTATTTTTGAATTAAATTGAAAATAAATCGTCCATCATTAAACAGGGGTGGAGGCCTCCGGGTTCAACTGTCCCCCTCTTACAATGCTGTGATTGCTAGTATCACTCAGCCCTCTGTGAACAGTAAACAGCCATCAGTGTGCTAATGATCCATTGTTAGGCTGATGGTCCTTCTTGAGCATGTGATCAGCCGGTTTTGGTTGTCAGCAGCAAAACTGGTTGATCCACTCTGAGAAGGTGCTATTTAAGAGACTGAGCTGAATACAGCACCTCAGACTGAGGAAGTCTCTTGGATGAGAGACGAAACATTTCTACATTTTTTTTTCTTTATGTATTTTTTTTGAATGTCCAGAGGACCAGATTGAACTTTTTTGGACTTAGCTTATAAAACTGCTCATCCATCTAGTCAGCTGCTTAAACAGTTCACCTAATGTTCACTGTTTATGTTTATCTTCTCCTCACAGGAGCCTCTGACCCAGATGTGAGGACAGAGAGACAAAAGGAAAGTGAGGTGGGGGCTACAGGACAATCACAGAATTTGTTGTTATAAGTTTGCTGTTTTTTCTACAGTGGAGCTGCATGGTGGAGGTAAGTTAAGCTGTAAAGGATATTGTTGACCAGTTAAGCTTTTATCTCTCAGCCTAGAGAATGTTTTTGAGCAACAACACAACCATGTTATTGTTGATGTTTTGTGTTCTCATGTCAATTAGGGAGATGATCAGAGCCCTAAACCCCAGAGAACCACAGAGAAGATTCAGGCAAAGACACAGAGGTGCAGATGTCTGCATCAACCCTACCTCACTGAATCCAGTGACCTGCTGGTGGGATGTGAAGGACACTATGTCAGTGCTATCAAACTGACAACCAGGTATCTGTGTGTGCAACAAGCAACAATCATCATTTTCTACAGCTGGAGACACCATCAGTCAGGAGCAGGCTTGTTTGTGTCCACAGAAGGAAGACACGTTGAATTTTCTGAAGAAAAACTGTTAAGTGAAAAAGGTCCTCAGTGTGTAGCAGTTAACATTAGGCACTGACGTGTCACTGGTTTGAAACTGTTCTTTTGACCTGGAAATTATTTGTTTATTTTAATGCAAGAAAACTGCTTGGAATAGAAATACCAAAGTTAACGTATTTTTTTTGAACAGTTAAAACAGATTTGAAAGAGAAAAGAGAAAGGGAGGGGTCAGTGAAGAGCATTGGAGTTGAGCCTTTTGTTATCCAGTGTCTTCAGTGCAAAGAGAGACACTAAGAAACGATAAAGCTGATAAATGAAAATGAGGTTGATCATTTTCATTTATCATGCGATTAATTGATTTATTGTTTATCATGAAAGGTGACAACATGCGAGTTGTGGTGTGAAGAGCACACTGACTGGTGGAGAAGCCGATCCTCTTGTGACAGCGAGTGAACTCGATGTTGAAGTAGGTGACCAGGGCGTGGATGTAATCGTTCCTCTTAACCTGCAGGCAGAACGGAGAGGTGAAGGTCAGGTCCTCCACCTTCACCGTGTAGATGTCCACCTCCTAAACACAAATACACAAACCAAACACTTCACGTCAGGTGATCTGTTACAACGCCTGCACATGAAAAGACATGAGAATATTCACACACCCTGATGAGGCAGGAGTTTGACACCAACTGTTTGGGATCCACCACATCCACCAGGGGCTCCTTTATGGCCACCTCCTTGATGCAGGACATGTCGAAGCCATAAACGTTCTCCCACCCTGAGACAGACATCACTGTTAAAGCAGCACCTGGGTCTCACACAAACACGTTCAGATTTATGTCCACACATGAACCTTTTACTTCTTGTTGGTGTGAAAGAAAACATTCGTAGAAACAGTTGGGACATTGTTACAAACAGCAAACTACCCACAATGCTGCAGTAACTAATCCAGGCCTGTTTGTGGTGCCTTCATCTCTGTACAGACTTTAGATCAGGACTGTTCAACTAAAGTGCTCAGGGCAGTTACTGAAAGCCAAGAGCACAGGGCCAGACATCCAGCAGGTATTCTCATGAAATTTTTTTTTACCATTTAAAATGGTTTTATGCAACCTGAAAGCCGAGCTTTACGTCGGTGTGAATTTTTTTCTTTCTCCAAGGTACATGGGACTAGTAGGACCTAACAAGTTAAATAACTGGACTATCATGGTACAGGAAGTGGTTTTAGAAAAAAAAAAAGAAGAAGAAGAAATGATGCCCTTATATGAAGACAGTAGGGTTTTCTTTTTTTGCATTTTATATTTTCCTTGCAATTTGGGATCAGAAGGTCTTAATTACACTGCAAACAAACTTTCAGCTTTTTATGATAAGTAGTTTTCTGAAAAATAAATCAATGTCGCATATGAGGACACGGGGTCAGGTTAAAAATGAACCCACTGGTGGGCTGAACTGAACCGTGGGCCTGATTTGGCCCCAGGCTGTCAGATGAACATCCCTGCTTTAGTGTGTTGCAGCATAAAAACCAAGAAAACAATAAAACCACTCATCAAATCTTAACTTGACCTTTTCCTGGTGGGGAAAAAAAAAAAAACCCTACTTTTCTAAAATGTCTAAACATGAAACGGTATTTTACAAATACAAAAATAATTTAAAAAAACAGGAAATGCCTGACAATTTGTAGAATATTCTGGTTGTTAGCTGCTGGAAGAGGAGGTCACGTTCACCAGAACAGACAGCGTCACAGTGGGCTTCAGTACTCACAGTGGATCTTGTAGTCCTTGTACTGCCGGTCTTCAATGGCAGTCACGTACAGAGTCGCTCTGTCTGGAAAAATGAGGCCGTCTGGTTTCTGTTGTAGAGGAAAACACACCAGAGGAGGGTGACAGGGTTAGAGCTACTGCTACCCAACACATTGGTCAGAACTGATGATCACCCACAGTTGAATGGTGGACAAAACATGTTGGGAACCACTAGATGAATAACACACTCTAGTGGATGTACATCTACAAATGATCAACCTTTGGAGTATCCCCAAGTCAGAGTTTCCTCTACCATTATACAAGCAGGGCGCGCCACCAACACAACTGAGCACCCCGCCTACTGAACACCTCCTGCACCGCCATCAACTGCCAGCACTGACGTAGCACTAAGCTAGCTAAAAAAGCTCTGACGATGGAGGCAACACTTGAAAACTGTCGGTACAAACAGAACATATGAGCGCCTGCCAAGGACAGTAAGCTGGAGGAAAGTGCAGTTCAAACAGAAAAATGTTTTTTGGTTTTAACAACTGTTTATTTTAATGGTTACTGCGACAATAAGTTTGACATTACAACAACCAGCAAGTTGTTTAAATTATTACTTTTTGTAGGTAGAAAGTTTGACATTAATTGATATAAAAATGCATTCCTGCTACAGTATCTTGTGATAACTGTTTTAAAGATAAAACTGAAGAAGATTCTAGCTAAATAAATAATACATAAATAAATCCCGTTTATCATCATAACTCAAGAGGAATGAACGGCTTCGATAGAAAAAACTGTAGAAAGGTTGTCCATGAACTGGAGCCAGGTTTAGTTTACACAGACCTGACATACAGAGCAACAGAACCCTCTGCAGCTTCACGGTAACTTGTCATTACTGCTTTACATCATTTAAGTGTTGACTGGAAGAAAAAGAAACCTGGAAACTTTACAAGAAGACATACCAGCCATTTGTCCCGGGCGTAGATGACTGTATTCAGCATGGACTCGTAGAAGAGACAGTAGCCCATCCACTCAGAGATGATGATATCCACTCCGTCCACTGGCAGCTCCACCTCCTCCACCTTCCCCTTAATGATAGTCACAACTGGAAACAGAAAGTCAACGTTGGACCTCTCTCTGACTCTCAATCAGCATGCTGGACTGCATTTACTCACCATCATCTAGGTTGTTGGCTTTCACGATTTTCACAGCGTAATCTGAGATGCTGCTGCACTCGATCTGTTAGGACAAACCAGAGTGTTAACTCTCGTTAAAATTGATCAGAACCATCAAAACGGGTCAAAAACCACAATATGTAGAGCAGTAGCTAAACTGAACATGAAGGAAGCTGAAGTAGATATCAAAGAGAACAATGATCTGGAGTTCAACGTGGAAAACATGCAAATACAGCTAACCCTTACAAATCTCATGTTACCTCAGGAAAAACACATTTTTCAACTTTAGACTGAATCCGAGATTTTAACTGAAATATACATATTAAATATTTTTATTTGGCGGTTTTCACCCTTTAAAGGCCTTATGTTACAGACCAAAATACTTTTTTAGAGAACATTTGCTGTGTCTTTAGATGAATGTAGATTTGTGTGTTTGACTTTTGTCTGTGCTCTCTCTGCATCAGGATTTCTGTCCAGCTTTTTATTTTCTTCTTTGCCTCTATTCTAAAAAGAAAACAGCAGAAAAAACACCGAAGATACAGAGAAAAGCTGGAATTATCAGAGAATTAGAACAAAAAAGCTACTGGTAAAATTCATGGATAAAAGTTGAAAAGACGAAAAAGGGCTGAAATTAGCAGAAATTGCACAAAAAAGCTGAAATGAGCACAAGAAAAAAAAAAAAAAAAACCAACAACACACAAAGCTAGAATTAGCAGACAATAGCTGAAAACGAAATTAGCTAAAACAAGCTGGAGCAGAACGATGAAATGAGCAGTAAAGGTTGTAAACAACCCAAAGAGTTTGAAGGATGTGTGAAGAAAGTCCCATTTTCAACAAGAAAAACAAACAAAGCCAAAAAATCTAAAAGTAAAAATTGCATAAAACACCAAACGTCACAGCAGGAATGAATGAGCTGAATGTTTTGATATATGAACATCTGAATAGAATGAGTTAATGATGAAAAACATTGAGAGAGAAAAGATGTCTGAGAATATTTAGTTGTTCTTTCAGCTGCTCCATCTTTAGGACTCGGCACGAAAAGGTTTGACAACAGTTTTAAGTCGTCGTCCTTCCTGACACAACCTGCAGCCTCAAAATGACGAGATCATAAAGTTACAGAAGAACCCAAGAAATAATCATTCATAAATATTAAAATTTCATAACTACAAGTCCAAAATGAAATCTTAAAAAAAAAATGTTTTAGGTTGCATCAAATAATCAAAAATGTGAATTTTAATAGTTTTCAACGGGACAATTCTTGTCATCAGGATCAAAATTTCTGATTTAAAGCTAAGGTCATTTAAAGAACTCAAGACAGTTCTAATTTTTGAGGGGGTGGGGGGCAAATTGAGCAACATTTGCCCACAAGAAAATTGAAAAAAATATTTTTTTTGGGGGGTGGGGAAGAACAGAGGAATAGTACAAATTGTTCCGATGATAATTTAAAGGCTGTTTCAAAAAGTACAAACGTTACAAAAGACAACTCCAAGCTGTAACGTCATGAATGAGCTGTGGATGTTTAAAGAGCTGCTCAAGCTGCAGCGATGCATTAAACAAACACAGCTGATCAAAACGATGGTTCCTCACTAATAGGAATGCGCGATATATACGGTATACGGTAGAAATTTAGCCTACGATGGAGATCCGTCTTCTACCGGCTAACCGCAGTAATGCTGTGTGTCTGAAGTAAAATCAGAGTTGTCAGATTTAACCGTAACTTTTTTGAGCTGAAAAATGTGCGCAAGTGGCGTTAAAGTCTTTTCTTCGAGAGCTAAGTGGCGAAGCTACAAGCTAACTACAGCCGGCTTGCCGTAGAGTTGCCGTATTCTGACGCATGCGCAAAACGCTGTGTTCCGTCAAAAGTTTTTTTTCCCCCATCGTAAGTTAAAGTAAGCGTTGGTCAGCTTTAGAGAAACCTGCTCTCTGATCTGTGAAAAGAACGCTGTGTTGTGTGATTTTACTGCCAGACCCTTTGGTCAAAGCCAAAGACTCATTTTGTGTCAGCTCTCCATTAAAGCAGAAGGAGACGCCAACTAGAGGGTTGGAGGTGAAGTGTTTCAGTTGCTGTTCATTTCTTAAGTAAGACTGGAAACTGAAACTACATTTGATATCTTTTGCACTGTTTTGCTCTACAAGAAAGAAGCCTAATACTTTATTTGTTCATTATTTAAAAACTATCTGGACCTAGTAGTGGAATTTTCTTAATTCAAAACATTATGGCAAAAGGACACCCTATGCTTTTTTTAAGCAAGTTTTATACTAAAAAACATATCGCGAAATATATCGTTATCGCCACCCTTCACAATACATATCGTGATAAGAATTTTATGCCATATCGCACATTCCTACTCACTAATGACAACGTTTAATCAACGTACCCCGATGACTTTCTTGGCACCTGCTTTGGCAGCAAACATGCAGAGGATGCCCGTCCCGCTGCCCACATCCAGAACCACCTTATCTTTGAAAAGGTGCTTGTTGTGGAACATGGAGTTACGGTAAGTCAAAGTGCGAACTTCATCTTTCAGCATCTCCTACAAGGTACAGAGGAGCCAACACTTCAGTTTAGATTTAGACAAAAAAAAAAGACAGGTCATTTATGTAAAGAACAACCAGACTTACCTCGTGGATTCCAAAGTGGGCGTAGGAGTCAAAGTAGTAGTCTTTGGATGTCATGTCTTCAGCTGCAGGCTTAACTGAGCTCTCCCCCTGAGAAACCTCAACAGAGACAAACAATTATTACCTGAAGTAAACACATTTTTATATTTATTGGGATCATTGTAAACAAACATTGGCAACACATGAACTAATGAAGTGTGAACAGCATCTGTAAGAGACATTTTTTCTTTGTTTTGCTTTGTTTTTTTAATGTCCAGAGGACCAGATTTAACTTTTTTTTTTTTTTTTTTTTTTTTTAGATTTTTCTACCTGGATTATTGAGCATGCATCAGGACATCTGTAAGAGTTTTAAATGTTCCAGAGTGTTTGCAGGAACTTTTAAACACTTAATACAAGTTTTAAAACGCAACTTCCTCACAAAATAGTTAAGGGCAGGAGAAAACCCCAGTTCAGTTTCTGAGAGCCAGAAAATGCAAGAAACGTGACAACTTTGAACTAGCTTGTGACAGACTAGTGAGAAGACTCAGAACCGGACCTGGCTGACCTGGTCCTCATCCAGCAGCTTATTCAGAGCTCCAGATCTCTTTCTGATGGCAAATTGATTTTTGGACTGACCTGTTCCAGGTTTTTTAGTCCAAAATCTTTGGCCCATCAGTCCGCATTAACGCTCAGATTTGTTGAGTAAAATATGGAGACATTTCAGACTGAAACTGTAAAATTACTGGTCTAGAAGAAGCTTCGCAAAAGCCGTGCTTGTTTGAATGTCATGCTTTTCTTACGACGCTTCTCAAATATTAATTCTTGACAACATTTAACAGCAGTTTACTCCGATTTCACCTAAATGTCTTTTCTAAGATCCTGTTTCGCTTATTCTGCTTCATTTGTTTATTCACACGAAGCAGCCGAACACAGATCAATCACGTGATCAAGGCAGAGTCAACTGGATGCTTGTTTACATTGAGCGACGCATTACAGAACTGTACATCTGGAAAACTACCGAAGACGTTTAAATTGCATCATTTGATAGAGGTCAGGATAATGTCTTTACACAATCACAGTTTAAATTTTCCACAGATGGTTCATTGGAGCAGCCTAAAACATTTACCTTTTTGAAAATAAATGAAAATAAAAACCTTACACAGCTCTGTTTGTTACACAGTTTATCCAAAATAAAAATATCCACCCCCACTTCTTTAACCTAGTGTGTCTGTCAGTGCCTCATGGTTACACCTGTTATCTTGCAGTTCAAAAATTAGTGCAACTCCCTTCTTTTTTTGTCTGCCTTTCATTAACATGGCAGTCAGGGAGTGAGACACAGGTATGAGGTTACCATGGTGACCAATATGAGTGACAGCATCAGTTTGAACTTCTCTCATACACCAAAATGTAGCCATTTCCCGCCTGAGCTTACACCATTTATACGTCCGATGTATGCTTTGAAAAAAAGTTCAGCTAAAAATTATAAATATAGCTGCTACGGAAAGTTAATTTAAGTTTAACGCTTCAATTTAAAATGGATTATTATAGCACAACTTGTACTACCAGAGTTTGGGGTGAAAGGTCACGCTGTGTACGAAGCACGTGGTAACCAGACCACTTCAGACTTGGGTTTTAATCTGAAGATTCCTCCGTGTGTTGAAAAAATTACATTTAATTTAGTTTACTCTGTAAATCACAGGTCTCTACAGCCGCTAAGACGAGCGGGTTTTTGACTAAATGTTTCATATTTCAGGCTACGCTACAATTAAATAAAATTAAACGCTGAATGTCGTTTACAAATTTAAGGAGACTAAAAGATAAAAAGATATTTAAAGTTTGACGGTGTCTGTTCACGCTAGCGTTAGTGGCTAACTGCTAGCTCCGCAGCTAGCACACGTTAGACCCATGCGGTCCCACAGGCTCCGTGCTGAGCCGGGAGGGTAAAATTACTAATACCCACTACTATTAACTCTAACTTATAACGCTATTAAACATTTACAGCGCCGTATTATCATAACGACAGTCAAACTGTTGAACTAATTTTATTTTTTTCAGCTTTGTCCCAACTGCGACACAAAAAAAAAAAATGAATGAGCGGCAACATGAGATGCGAAGTTTGAACAAAGACGTCAGTATTTAATCGGTTTGTGGTGGGGAAAAAAACTCAAAAAGACGATGAAATGCGTCGCGCCCCCTACCGTGGACCGTGTGTGAAATTAAACGAGTGAGATATCTTACTTTCTCGAGAAACACCTTACCTCCATCCTTTCAGCTGGCGCGGCCATTTCCATGTTCTGTCTGCGCTGTGACTATCTGCGTCTTCGTCTTCCCTCGCCTTGTCTTCTTCTTCGTCGTCTTCTTCTCGACGAACTACAGTTCTCCCTCTGAAGTATGCACTGCCACCTACTGTTAACTCACGAAAGTCCACTTCCGTTTGTGCTTTAGTGCTTCACAAGAGGAACATAACCCTGGCGTCTGTCTGTTCTGTGAAGATAAACTAGTCTAAAGTAGTCCCACCACAAGCGTACAACAAGATTTGTATGCGTACAATAAAATCTGCAAGAGTACAAGTTTTATTTTTTAGACTTTTTTGCCACTCCAGATTCACAAGCAAATGCTGCATTCAAGGCTCATGAAAAGTATAAGTGCTATGTGTTGTCATCATTGTATGTTCCTATACAACGGTGAAATTAGTTCGATTATAAATTAGAAACGACAGTTGGAGAGTAAAAATCTGAATTTAAAGGTGGTTTTTGGCATAATCTGGATTGTGAGTGGATTAAGATGGCTAGTAGTAGTGGTGGGCTTTCGGAGGATAACGATATGGATATAGGATGGTCTAGGGTAGAGAATAAGAAGAAAGGAGGAAAAGAAAATGTTATAAAAGGAACAACTGGTAAAAGAGCTCTTGAGGGAGAGGAAGAAAGAACTGAAATAAGAAAGAAAATAATGATGGAAGATGCCAAGATTATACTAAAATTTAAGGCAGGACAGGAAATGATGGGAATAAGTCCTGTAAGTTTGTCAAATGGATTAAAAAAAGCAATTGGGGATGTAGCGTTAGCTAAAGTCCTAAGGGATGGAAATCTGCTTATTATTTGTAAAAATGCTGAACAAAAGAACAAAGCACTTAAATTACAAATGGTGTGTAAAAAGGAAGTGATAGAAAGAAAGATTGTTGGGGAAGAAAGAGGAGTAAGAGGAGTAATCACAGGGATCCCTGAAGGAGAAAATCTGGATGAGTTAAAGAAAATAATACGAGGAGGAGACATTACAGGCAATAAAAGACTACAGGCCTTCAGAAATGGAGAAAAATTAGACAGTACATCTATATTACTGGAGTTCAAAAATAAAGTTCTACCTGAGAAAATTATGATAGGGTACATGAGCTTTAATGTGAAAGTCTATGTTCCACCACCTCTCAGATGCTATAAATGCCAAAGATATGGACATGTTGCTAATGTTTGTAAAGGAAAACAGAGATGTGGTATCTGTATAATTGATACAGCCAAAAAGTAATGGACTCAAAAATAAGAAGTTAGTACCATGGTGGACACCAGAATGCACAGCAACAATTAAACAGCGTAATAAGGCTTTTAAAACTTTGAAAAGGACTATTAGTTTCCAGAATCTGATCAATTATAAAAGGAAACAAGCAGAAGTTAGGAAAATTATCAGATATGCTAAGAGGGATTATTGGAGAATATATTGTGACACACTGGGAAAAAATACTCCAATAACCAGGGTTTGGAATACTATTTAAAAAATGTCTGGGAATTCAAGAGATTATTAAAGAAAAAACAGGACGAAAAATAACATTAAGGATGAATACTGAACTACTTCAAAATGAGGAAGACAATGAGGATACTATTAATATGAAGTTTTCTTTGATGGAATTAAACAATGCATTAACAAGTTCCAGGAAGTCAACTCCTGGCAAAGATCAAATCAATTACTGCATGTTGAATAATCTTAGTGATGTGAGCAAAGAAATATTATTAAAATTATATAATAAGGTGTGGAAGGAAGGGAAGATACCAAACAAATGGAAAGAAGCAATTATTGTCCCTATTTGTAAACCTGGGAAGGATCCTAATTTAGCAGGAAGTTATAGACCAATTGCTCTTACATCATGTTTAGGTAAAATTATGGAAAAAATGGTAAATAATAGAATAATGTATTTTTTAGAATCTAAGGAGAAAATAAAATCTTATCAATTTGGCTTTAGAAAAAGCAGAAGTACAATAGATCCAGCAGTATTTTTGGAACATGAAATTAGAAGTGCCCAGGCTAATAAGGAAAGTGTGATAGCAGTTTTTTTGGATGTGGAAAAGACGTATGACATGTTATGGAGAGAAGGTTTATTGATTATAAATTGATTATGATTATAAAAGATCTATAGATGGATAAGAAACTTTTTAACCAACAGAAGTATTAGTGGTAAAATAAATGGAGAAATAAGTTCAGAATATCAAGTAGAAAATGGTACTCCCCAAGGCAGTATAATTAGTCCTATATTATTTACAATAATGATTAACGATATTTTTAGTAATACAGATAAATCTTTTGGCATCTCATTATTTGCAGATGATGGAGTTCTTTAGAAAAAGGGAAAAAATATAGAATTTGTTCAAAGGAAAATACAAGAGGCATTAAATAATGTAGAAATTTGGGCATTAGAATGGGGATTCAGATATTCAACATCCAAATCAAAATCAGTTATTTTTACAAATAAAAAAATAAACATTAATATAAATCTCAAATTATATGGGGACGATATAGAAAGAGTAGATCAAATCAAATATCTGGGTATCTGGTTTGATAAAAAAAAAAAACTTACGTGGAAAATACATATAGATAAAATAGTAGGAAAGTGTAAAAGATTTCTAAATATAATGAGATGTCTGATAGGTAAAGAATGGGGTGCAGATAGGAAAGCGTTAAAGACAATTTATGTTGGATTAATAAGATCAGTATTTGATTATGGATGCATTTTATATAACTCAGCTTCAAACACATTATTAAAACAAATATATAAAGTACAATATCAAGCTTTAAGACTTTGTTGTGGAGCCATGAAAACAACTCCAGTATCAGCTCTGCAGGTTGAGATGGGAGAAATGCCACTGGAGCTTAGAAGAACACAAATAGCTATAACCTACTGGGCAAATATTAAAGCATATAATGAAACTCATCCTCCACAAAATACTCTCCAACCCTGTCAAGAGAAAGAAAAGAAACAATTTAATAGTTTTGGATGGATAATCCTGAATCAAACTAAAGATATAGGAATAAATAATTTTCATATTAGTCCTGCAGTTGCTATTCCTGTTGTCCCACCATGGGTCCTTGGACAAATCAAAGTTGATTTAAATTTATTGAAACGAGGGAGAGAATTAGAAAGTAGTGAGGTGGAAAGATACATAGGAAACGAATACTCAGAATATATCAAGATTTATACTGATGCATCTAAAATGTTAAATAGCAGAACTGGTATAGCTTTGGTAATTCCAGAATTATATATACACAAGAAGGAATATTATAGTGATTTATTAAATAAAAGTAATGGTGATATGAAAGCAACATGGCGAGTAATAAATAGTGTTCTGAAAAGTCATAAAGCAAAAACAGGTATTTCACAATATTTTTTGAAGGATGATGATAAAATCCATGATGAAAATGAAATTGTAAATGGATTTAATCATTATTTTGTGAACGTTGGATCAAGCCTTGCAGCTAAAATACCAAAAGTAGACAATAATGTGAACCATTCAGTTATAAGTCGTGACAACAGTATTTTTCTTAATGGAACTGACAAAGAAGAAATAATGAATGTTGTAAA